GTGTGTGTGTTACAGGGATTGGGCACATTAATGTGCTGGGGCCGAACCCACTAACCCTGCCGGCTGTCCAGAGCGAGGAANATCTGGCCGCCGATGGCATCCCGGGGAGGCTCCGTCTTGCAAGCGCCATGCCGGTCTGCCGGGCAGCCGTCCGCCGCCCAGATGCCGCCACGAAGGTGCCGTGAGGCAAAGTCCCAGCTAGTGTCCCGGCTGGGGTTCGAACTCGTGCCTGTGGTATCACCCACCGGCACTCATCCAGCTCCTTATTTAACGTCGCGGCCAACGACGGCGAGGTGATCTGTGATCTGTGATGTTACAGAGGCAATGCCCATTAATGGGCTGGGGGCACACAAGCCGTGCCCACTAGCTCTGGACTGTATGAAAGCATGCAATACCGCCCGGGCGGCAAAGGGCGGGCTCAGGGAGCGGTCGGGCGCAAAGGGCGGGGAGGGAGGCGAGGACTGACTGAGACTGACTGAGATTACAGAGAACCGGGCCCTTTAAAGGGCTGGGGACACACAAGCCGTGCCCACTAGCTCTGGACAATATAAGTATGAAACCAACCAACAGACAGGGCGGCGGAGCGCGGGGCTGCGAGGAGCCGATCGGGCACAGCGGGCGGCAGGGAAAGCGGAGGGTGCCTGGGAGCCAGCCCAGTGACTGTCAGAGAGGTGTGAGGAGGGGAAACGGGGGGCAAAAGACAGGGGAAAGAGGGGGATCAAGGGCCAGGACCGCCAGCAGGCGGCGCAAGCGGCTCAGAGACGCCACCCACCCCGGCACAGAAGCTGGGGGAGCGGCCAGGCGGGCGGGCGGGGACCGCCTCAGAGGGCAGGCGACACAGGGGGTCAAGGCTCAGGTCAGATCACACGGGAGAAGGGGGCAGCCAGCTGCCAACGAGGAGAGGGGAGAAAGGGGGACGCCAGAGAAAGCACACCGAGCGGCAGCGCGGCAGGCACAGCAGCGCACGAGCAAGCACAGGCGCACAGGCACTGCAGCACACTGCCGGCGGGTCCCCGATGGCGTGACTGCGGAAAAGCGCAACCACCTCCACTGGTTCCAAGCACACCTCGCACGGCGCAATAGCCAGCCAAGGGGCACCACAGCCAGGCAGCAGCCGA